AAGAACTGTACGCCTATGTGAAAACTTATTCAAAATATATGCAAAAATGGAAACCTTTACATGATTAAAATTTTTTTCAAAAAAAATTGGCTTTTGATTTTTATTAAGATTTGGCTTGTTCGTTAAAATCCTTTATACATATTTATTTGAAAGTAAACAGGCTTAAAGTTCAATACACAGGATTTTTTATTTTGCTTTTTATAAGTCTTCTTGTGAAAGTTTTGAATGTTGGGATATTTTGGGTGTAAACGACTTTGATGGCAACAATCATAAATGTGGCACTACCGTAAAGGTCACTGTGCTTATAAATAGGTTATGCGGTGTTAAACATGGCGTCAAAAACCGACAAGAAGTAAATAAAACTGACAGTTTAAATTTTTGTAGAATATTGTTGGATTTAATCACTTTTGTTCACTATGTATTTTATGTCTGATTTTTGCCGAGTTTGCCTTCAAGGGGAAAAAGGACTTAAAGACATTATGAAGGACAAAGAAACTCCCGATAGTTTATACAGCAAATTAAAGTTATGTGTGTCAGAAGTTGTAAGTGTGTACTTTTTATTAGTTTTATAAAATAACGAGCGTTCTTTTTTTCAGGATTGGTGTATGTATAAGACTATGTTTATATGTGAGAAGTGTGTAATTAAGTTGAACACAGCATTTGAATTCAAGTGTCAGTGTATCAAATCTACAGAAATTTTAAGAAACTTTTTAAATCAATTGGGTATTGAAGAAAGTAAGACTGACGTGAAACGACATGAAGTAAATTCAACAATTGTAGAAGAAAATTTAAAAGCATCAAAGGATAAATCGGACTTAAATCCAGCATCTTTTGTTCATGTAAGGCCTGATCAACAACTATTTACACCTGGCCACTTACAAAATGTGATAGTTTCTCCTAGTGCAACACAAAGTGTTTTTCCTAATCTGTTTTTTAATCTAATCCCAACAAATTTATTGAAAGCTTCAAGCCCACCTCCTTTAAGTTCTGTTAGTAGGCTTCCACTATCAAAGACTGCTCCTCAAGCAAAAGATGCAAATCAAAATATGTTTGTGAGCATTCACAGATTTTTTCCTGTAATTTCTCCAACAAAAGATAGTACCATTATTCAGTCATCAACAAATCATAGTGTTATGCCATCTATTTCAACAAATAATGTTCAACCAGAAATTACAAGACCTGTAGTTAAATCAAAGGAAGTTTCACAAATATTAACTGAAAACAATAGTGAAGAGTTAAGCATTGAGATTGATCCAGCATGTTTTGATTTAGAAGACGAGGAGAGTCCAGACAGTATAAATAAGTCAGAAATGAACATTTTAAGAGACTGGGAAGATGTTATTGTAAGTAACAAGATATCCTCTGAGCATGACAATATAAATATCAGAACATCCTTAAATAACTCACTTCCTACTTTAAACAAAATGCTGGAAGTTAACAATAGCCCTGCACCTCTTGACATAGGAAGTATTCATAAACGAAGTAATACTCACAATCCACATAGTGCCAGTATTTCAATTGTCCCAAAACAGCAGGTATGTGTACTCAGTTACTTTGAGAATAAAATAATTCTTTATAATTTTTAACAAATTACATTAGAAAAATGTTAAAAATAAACACTGCACTATTTTCAAATGATATTTTTCCATGTAAAATGAATAAAATTAAAACTTTTCCTAGGAATAAGGAAAATACGTTTAATTTTTTGCAAAAAAGTTAAGAAATCATACAAATTTAATATAATATAGCAACTTTTTTAATTGTTTTACAGCCATATGTGGGTAATTATGTGCCTGTTTGTCCAAAATTACCTGAACATCTGGCTACTATGGATTTTGAAGAAAAAATTGAGTTTTTTAATGCAGGGCATTTCATGACACAAAAAGAACCAGAGAAATCATCAGCTATAGATTGTATAAGAATATTTTCTTGTGAAATGTGTTCAAATACATTTGACTCTTTACAAAAGTTAAACAGCCATATCAAACAACATCATTCAGGGAAGTTTCCATACAGATGTAAATATTGTTTTATGGAGTTTGCAGTTCGGTCACAATTCAAGGAACATTTACATGCCCATTTATCAGATTCTGGTGATAATTATACAAAAGATACCATCACATTAGACGATTTAAATTCTGAGCATCATGAATCATTAGTATTAAGTTGCGTAAATTATAAACCTACCCCTCCACAAAAAACTGAGCAAACAGAAGGAGAAGGTGAAGCTGAAACTGGCGAATTTAAATGTGAGCAATGTCCTAGAAGATTTAACAGTTTACACGGCTTATCTCGACATAAAGTACGAAAACATAACTTTAAAGCAAAGAAAAAGTATTTTATAAAAGGCATGAAAAATGCCAGATGTGATATTTGTAATAGAGAATTTTCTACGCAATCTTACTTGCAGTTGCATATTAAACTGCATTATCGTAAAAGTGATTTTAGACGTAAAGTTTTTTGTAAGGAATCGTATGCGTCTGGTAGTCATTTCTTAAACTTCAATGACAAAAATCAGTATGAAGAGTATAGCATGATAGACAATCATATGTTGGATATCGATGTTCACATGGATACTGACGAGTCATTTTCATTAGATGCTAATGTAGGAGAAACATTCACAGAAGATACTAACATTTCTTCAAAAACTGTTAATGAAACTTTTGGTATGGATACCTCATTATCCACTTCTAACATTAATACCACAGTAAAAACTACTCAAATAGAAAATTCATCAGAAAACTTTGCCATGGACAGCTCTTCCACTGAAACTGTCGATTCATGTTTAGGTGATTCAACAAATACCGAGTTACTAGATCCTTGTGACAATATAAATCCTAACATACTTTATAAACCAAATGTAAATAACATTTCTGATGATGAAATCAAGGACAAAAATGAAGACAGCAAGGAAGAACTGATAAGTAAATCTAATAATAAAGTTGAACAAAAGAGAAATGGAACTGAAAACAAAAGCAGTATTGAAAATGAAAGTAAAGAAAACAATGAGACTGTATCAGAAAATATAGATAGATTTGAAAACAATGATGCCAATTATGCTGATAGTAAGGAGGAAAAAGTTGAAGCCAAAGTCTGCCTTTCAATGGAGGTGAGTACATAATTTTTTTGCAAGTGTTTTGTTACTTACTCTGGATTCTGTAGATTTTAGCCGAAAAAAATGTGGAACCAAAGAAACAGAAATGTGAATTTCCTGTATTACAAGAAAATGAAAAGAAAGAAAACTGTGATCCTCAGCCATTTAAAGATTTTAAATCACGTGATGATAGTAAAAAACATTCCATTAGAAACGACGATGTTACGGTATCTAATGTAGGCATAAAATTGAAAATTAACTTACGAAATATTAAGCAAAACAGTCGAGAAGAAACCATTGAGAGAAACAAAGAAGATTTGGTTAATGAAACAACACCAGATGAATTAGTAGCTGCAAAGCAACAAGAACATACAGAACACCCTGCAATAAATGTTATGGGTGATTCAAAAAAATGTAAAGAAAAAAATAAAAAAAATGATAGTTCACGAACGTTTCCTAGAAAACGTAAGGGAAGTTCGTCTAAAAAGTCATCAAGAAGAAAATCGAAAACTAACAAAGTAAACGAATCAATAACAGATCTGACATTGACGTTGGAAGAAATCGATGTTACAGAAACAGTAAATTCGTCACATTTAAAATTACCAGAAAATAAGAAGCTGATGGATAATGTGACATCGTCAGATGATATAGCACTAATAGATAACGTAATTTCAGCAGAAAAGGATTTACTAAAAGAAAATGCAACATCGATAGCAAACGTGATATCGGCAAATAGTACATCAACAGATATCAACTCAGCAGATGACACAATTCTGAACGATGCTGAAAACGAAAATCAAACATTCTTTAGTGGTTATAAGATTGAGATGGTTAATGGTCGACCTAAATGCAATTTTTGTAACAAACTTTTCAGTAGAAAACATGATTTGAAACGTCATATGAATAATATACATTTGAAAGCGATAAAGTACAAGTGTCATCTGTGTGATGTCACCTTTTACGAGGCGTTCCATCTTACGAGACATTTGCGTCAGCATAATTGTTTTTTAACTTGTGCCGTTTGTCCGAAAAATTTCAGTACACTGAGAGATCTAAAGTGTCACGTGGACTCTATTCATAAAGAAGATCCATCTGTCCAATGCGGAACTTGCAGTATTGTGTTTTCGAACTTGGAAGAGTTGAAAGATCATATCCAACAACATGACAAGGAAGTGATATATAAGTGTCATCTTTGTACGGATGAGTTTGGTGAATCTCGGGACTTAACAAAACACCTTGTTGGACATAGCGGTATGTACTCATGTGGTTCTTGTCAAGCTACATTTGCGACTGAACACGAATTGAACTTGCACCTTAAAGTGCACTCGTTAAACATCTCTGAAGACACGAAATACGAATGTGAGATTTGTCATAACAAGTACAAAAAGAAGCGTTACTTGGCGAACCATATAAAGCATTCGAAACATAATCGTAGTTTGGAGAAAAAGGACGCAGATGAGGTGCATGTTAACAGGGTAGAACGTAATAATTCTGATGATTCCACCTAGTGAATCGTACGTATCATTTTACTTGTACAAAGTAAATATACTTTAATGTCCTTAAAACAAATACTGCTGCATATTCTAACAAAAATACAGTCAAGGTGTTACGGTGAATTTCTTCTTACTGTGACTTTCTAATAACATTATGTAAAATTATTTAAAATTGATATTTCAATATAACATCAGAACACCTTAATTTGGTTTAGTTATTATAATACAACTATTGATTGATAGTACAAGTTGTGTGGATTGAAAAAATTGTACTAGGTTTGGGTAAAATTATTTTTAGCACGATGGAGTCATGCGGAAATCATTACCTTTTTATCTTTGAAGAATGAATTAATTGTTATGTATCAGTATTATTTTTAAGGACATTACAAACTAGTTGTTATAGCACCATATCTGACAGGCAAATACATGTACTCTCATTTCGTTTATTTAAAACCGTATCATTAACGTATTTATTACATTTCTTGCTAGATTAGTTGCGGTATTGTTGTAGAGTTTAAATTTGACTCTAACATAACTAATAATTGCAATTTTTCGTTTAACGATGTATTGCCAAAGAAAATTACTAAGGTAGACAAATGTGTAAGAGAACTGATTCGTTGAATTTTGGTTTAAATTTCGTTAAATAATAGACTGCTTCAATGTTTGTTTTTATATTAAAAACTAAGAAAAACACACTGCCCTGAATTTGCAGTATTAATTTAACTCAATCTTTTTAGGGTGTGCTTATCTATAATTATGTTTATTTTTAATTTGATTTTTAAAAATAAAGTCAAAAATATTTGCTTTGTAAGAATGTAAACGTATAATTTAATTTTGAACTGTGAAAAATGTGTGTACTTTTTATGAGCATATTTCAGTATGCATAAAATATGCATTTTCTTTTATTTATGAACACGTGTATTTTATTTGTAGCATTTAGTATTTTTAAAAATTACATTTATGTTTATAAAGAGTACAAGTATCTCACAATATAAAAAATACGCAATAATATAGCGATTGGTAAGAGGTCAAAATATCAATGACTAGTGATCATTCTAACAAGTTATTTCATATTATAAAAAGAAAGAGAAAAATTATTTTTTTTTTCGTTATGTATGATATAGATTATTTACAGTCTTTCAAAAAATAAAAAACTGAAGT